TCAGAGATCATAAAAGGTGCATGTATATTGTTCCTGGAAAGCCAAGCCCTGAGAAGGTATTGTTGCAGCTCACGTGGGTTTTTGCCATGATTTTTTTCCCCTTTAATCCAAATTATGTGATCTCTCCAGTCACTTGAAAAATGCTTTACAAAATAAGCATAACTCATCCCTCTGACACCTTTTCTTTGGAGCTTTCTTTGGCAGCATCTCTCAGTGAAGTCTTGTTGAGCTGTAGCAGCAAGCCAGCTGCAGGGACACTGTGTTACTTCTGCCTGGATCAGAGTCCAGAATCCCTCTGGCTGTTAAATGAACACGTGTGTGTATCTGCATATGGGTGTGTATATGCAAAAGTTTCGCCACCAAAATCATACTCCTGGACAGCCCCAGAAATGTGAAGAAACCAGCTGATGGGGGAGAGGCATGAACTCAAGCTGCATGAAATGTGAGCTCTGCTCTGCCCCAGGGGACTGCTCTTGTGTTTCTACTGGTTTCTGCCCCATCTTGCCTATAGTTGTTTTTGAATTTAAATAACAAACACAGTCTCAGTTACCCCGTGGTTGGCCCTGGCATGAACCCAGCAGTACCTTACCCACCTCCCTTTTCTTGGAGTTTGTCCTCACTGCTGCAGTGTGATGTGAACATGGCAGGGCAAGAGGCTGAGTGAGGCAGTGTGACCCCACACAGCAGTGACAGCTGTCTCCATCAGACAAAGCTGTGGCAAAAATGTGTCCTTTCCCTGTGTTCTAGTGGTTGCTGTGATACTTTTTGCAAAGCAGCCTCCTGCTTTGTCCCTGTTGGCTGTTGTTCAGTTATGCTCCCCTGAGGCAGTGGTACACTGATCAGGGAGAAACAGGCAGGGAAACCGTGGAGACTTTCAAGGAGAATGATTGCAAAACCAAGCTTTCTCTGAGGTTCCAGCCCTGGGACACCAAGTGACTTGGATATGTTTCTAACTAACTGCAACCTTCTTGCTGACAGATCCACCACGTTCCACCCCAAAGTGCTGGGCTGAGACCTCCTCCTCGGGGCTGATGCTGCAGCTGTTTTGCAGTTGGCCTGGGGGGTATCCCCACCCCACCCTGCACTGGCAAGAAGAGGGACATGATCTGGAGAACTCCAGCTGGCTCATCAGCTCCACAAGCTCCTCAGACACCCACGTGGAAACACTGAACAGCTCCTACCTCTCCCACCGCAAAGTGTTCAAGTGTGTTGGGAGCCACGTTGTGAAGCAGGAGGAGCCTGCATGCTCTGTGGAGATAAGTAAGTTGGTTTCTTCACCATATTAATGATTAATGGTGGGGCAGACAGGTACCCTGATCGTTCTCTGCCCTCCAGAGCCAGCCTTGCTGGTTCTTGCAGCAGGGAAGGGATGCAAACAAGGCAGCCTGACAAGATTTGTGACTGCACAAGGCACAGAAGTCCTACAGGTGAGACCTAGCATGGCAGAGTTGTTGTTGAGTCATGTTTGGAGTTGACAAGTCCCTGTGCACCAACCTTTTCACCTGTGCAAACACTCATACTTGTGGCCAGAACAGAGAAGATGAACCAGTGGTTTTAGTGCCTTGCTCAGCTTGAGTTTAAGTGTACTGGGGCTGGGTTTATGTCAGAATAGTTATGTGTGTCCCCAGCCCCCTGGGCTGCCTTTCTCCTCTGCCATATTCCTACTGGCTTCCCTCCAGGTGTTGTCCTCTGTCAATATAAACGCAGGTGTCAAAAATGGAGAAGTGAAAGTTGCTCATATCATATCATATCGCTCCATGGAAGGCTGCTCAAGTCTCAACCTAAATGTTTTCCTCTGTTAATGGTTACTAATCAGTCAGATGGCTAATAGATTGTTATGTTTAACTCTTCCATCCCCTCCTTGACTGTTTTCTTTCCTTCTGGGCTGTTCAGAAGTCCCCTCATTGGAATTGGAGCCCCCAAAGACCTGTTTTGTGGGTGACAACGTGACCCTGACGTGCCGTGTGACCGAGAGCGTGCCTCCAGCAAGACTCACCTGGCTGCGGGGCATCACCCAGCCAGAGATTGAACCTGGAGGGAGGTACTTCATTGCCCAGGAGGGCAATGTGTCTCACCTCACCATCCAGAACTGCTCCCAGGGCATCGACGGGGGCTGTTACGTCTGCAAAGCACAGAACCCCGTGGGGCTGAGGGAGGTGTTCGTCTGCCTGACGGTGAAGCGTGAGTAGGGCTGCCTGGGGTTGCTGTGTGTGGCTGGGAGTGTAAGGAAAGCAGGGACACAGCTCATGACAACTGCTGGAGAGCCCCTGTGGGGCTGCATTTGTCACTGATTGTCCATGATACTTTCCATGCTTTCACTGCAAGTGAGGTGCAGAATGGGGTCTTTTCATCCCAGAGTTAAAAGGCTCCATTCCTCTCACCTTGGCGTATTGAGCCTGAGAGAGGAGCACAGCTGCTCCTTGGTCCTTCCTGTTGGTGTTGGCAGCACAGGAGCACTCAAGCAGCAACAAGCAGGAGCTGATTGGTTTTTACAGAAACCTTGCAGTGTTATTTTCCATGTCAATGAAGCATGGTTGTCTCACCATACGAGCACACCTTGTGTGGTGGTGGGACTGTAGAAATGATGGGAAATCAGAGCAGTGCAGCACTGAGACCTGTGTTATTTGAACATCCTTGGCATCCATCCACGTGCCAGTGACAAGTTGGCCTCTTGTGTTTGCCCTTTCTGCAGAACCAACGAACATAGTTGGAGTCGTGGGTGCGGTGGTGGTCCTGTCCCTGATAGCTGTTCTCACCATCTCCGGGGTTGTCTTGTACTACAATCCTCTCTTGTGCCTCAGAGGTAGGAGCTCTCCTCCGTGCAAGCCAGGCAGTTGGGGGGAATTTTCCCTAACCTACTTGCCCTTCCTGTTGTGTTGGAGTCAGCTACTGACTACCCCCAGCTCTTGGGCATCATTGTGCTCCTGGTCAGGAGCCCATCAGCCCTGGAGGAGCTGGGCTGGAACACAGGGCCCTTCCATAGCTGGATGCTTCAAGTATCTTGCCCTGAGCTTCTGCAGGGAGCTGTGCAGTGCCATTCCTACTCTTCCCTTTCCTTCCACACTGCTGGTAGGAGCTGCACAGCAAAACCAGCAGCTGCTCTGGGATTGGTTTCTAACACTCCCTTCTCTCCTCTCTTCTCTCCCATTTAGGTGCTGCATTCAGGTGAGTTGATTTTCCTCAGACTGGTTGTGCCCAGGTTTGTTAGCCTACCATCCTGGCAGCTGTGATCTCCAGTAGAGCAGAAGAGAGTTGTTCTTAGGTGGGAGTGGAAGGGTTCAGCATGGCTGGGTGAGGCTTGGTGTGGGTGAGGGAGCAGGAGAATGAGGGGAGCACCTGTCATTGCCTCTGGACATGCAGAGGTGGTCCTGTTAGCATGGGGGAAGGTTGTGCTGGAGAGTTTCTCCATGGTGCAGGTGAGCCATAAAACTTGGTGTATAAAGTGAAATGGCAGTCTACTTCTCTGCATGGGTGTCTACACTGTGTCCTTCTCTTTCTTTGGGGGGGCTGTCTGAGAGCTGCATGTAAGCAAGTACTTCTGTGGGGATTCTGGTGCACTGGATTTCTTCTCTGCTTCCTACTGTCACCTCCTTCCCTCTCCTTGCCCTTGTTGGTTCTGTTCCCACAGCTGTGGTGCTGCGGCATGGGAAGACTCTATTCTGAGTGCCTCCAGTTCCCCATCTGTGCAGGAGGGGAGGATGACTCCATTCAGGAGGGGTTCTTGCAGTATAGTACATGACTGTTGATGAGATGGTTGGAGGACTTTGGAAGACGAATGGGAAGCAGTGCAGAATGCTGTTGGTGGTGTTGGTGCCAGCAGGGTCTGAAACCAGCTATTCTCCAAACATGGTTAGTGCAGGGTTGGAAGAGTCTGTTCAAATGGGTCTTCTTGGTTGTATAAAGTTGTCAAGGCCAGGGGAGATGCAGTCTGAAGGAACAGGGTCAGGAGAAGCTATTCTCAGCATCAGCCCACCTCCCCTCGCTCTGCTGTTGACAGGAGCCAAGACTCTGATGATGTCTTAGTGCTGGTGGACTCAGAAGATGATGATGATGATGATGATGATGAAGGGAATGGGGAAGAGAACACGATGGGCAGCTCCATCAAGCAGGAGGCGATGGCTCTGGTCAATGGGAACAGCATCCAGGCTGCTTATCTCAACTGTCCGACAGAAGGTGAGCTCTGGTGCCTGCCTGCTGGCTGGGTTTGGGGGCTGGAGCAACAAAGAGAGGGAAGAACTGTTCTGTGGTTTGTTGACTCTTGCTGAGGTGCTGCTCTGTGCCCTGTGTAGGTGATGAGGGCGAGCAGCACAGCGTGGTCCCTCTTCAGAAGACAAGTGGAGAAGACACACAAGGCACATAATCTCCATTCCTTCTTACGGAAATGCACAGAGCTCCAGCTGGAAGCCCAGCACCAAACGTCCTCATCGCCACATGGCTGAGCGCAGGCTGTCAGCGTCCTGCAGCCATCTGCTTCAGCCAGAGCACTCCTCTTCCTTCTACACTCCTCCTTCCCCAGCTTTCACTCCACCCTTCAGCCTCGTTTCTCCCTTTCTTCTCTCTTTGCCTGTTCCTCTTTGTCTCAGATACCCTTCTTAACAAGGTGGCACCCAGCACAGGAACAGAGTTCAGGAAATAGGTGCCAGTGGCCTGTTCATCTCAGTGCATGTCAGCCTTGGGTACGGTGTGGGGTTTTGGCTCAGTCACTGCCAGCAATGCCAGAGCCGTGGGGAGCACAATGCAGAACATTGCCTTGAGGCCACCAAGTGGCTGTGCCAGGATGATGGAAGAAGCAACTGGTGGATGGGGCAGGATTGGTGGGGGGGGAGGGGGAATGCTGACTTTCCAAGGAGACTTAATTGTTTTTATTATAAATAATTGGTTTTTTTTCCCAAGACCTTCTGCACTGTTGTTCTTGGAGTCACTGGACTGTTCTTGGACAGGAGAGGGGGTGAGGCCAGCCCCAGAGGGGGCTGTAGGGTGGGTGGGACTCAGAGGGGTGGGGGTGTACAGGAGGGGATTGAGGCATGGATATAGCTGGTGAGCAGAGGGGTGTGAGTGCACACACACGGGATGGAGGGGATCTGAGTGCACCTGGGGGAACAGAGGGGAACTGAAGATGAGATGGGGAACGGAGCACGTGGAGAAGAGCTGTGTATGTGCACTATGGGAGGGAGCTGAGCCCCTTGTGGAGTGTGAAGAACGATCTGAGTGGGGAGCTGAACAGGTATGGTGGGGACTGGAGCATTGGTGCAGGGCAGCAGCTGGGGTCTGGCTGTGATCCCTGCAGAGGTTTGTGAGGAGGGCTGGAGTGGGGTCTGAAGGCTGTGGGGAGAGGACGGGGTGTGGGTGGGAGCACAGAGGAGGGGATGTGTCCCAGGGAATCATACCCCCCACTGTCTCCTGCCCCATTAGGGCTCCTGGCTCTGACAAGCCACACTGCAGCCTGGGTTCTCCATCAGAGCCCTTCTTGTCCATGGGGCTCAGTCCCTGATCCCCAGGCCATATGTGTGTGCTCCCAGCCTCGTGAGTGACGCTCAGGGCTGTGGGAAGGAAACCTCCACTGCGGGAGCCTCTGGCTGCCCCTGGCAACAGCATTGTGTGCCTCCGCCATCTGCTGCCCTGCAATGGCCGCCCCATGTCCTGCTCCTCCGCTCCCTCCCCGTGCTGCACAGGCTCCAGATGCAGTCCCTGAGATGTCCCTGGGTCTGGAGGAGCATCTGAGCAGGGCCTTCCAGGACAAACTGCGGCTCCAGTGAGTGCTCCCATCCTCCCCCCGTAGGCTGCCATTGTGCCATGGTTCCCCACCAGCTGTAATAACAAGGGGATGTTTGTGCAGCTGATCTCGGGGTGGGTGGAAGGCTCTGAGGTGTCCCCAGTCCAGCAGGCAGGTGACATCCTATGGGGGACAGCCCAGGCAGGGGGCTGTGCTGTGTTCCCAGCTGGGGATAAGGGGTAACCTGCACACCCTGTGGCTGAGCCTGGGCAGGCATTTGGGGGAGGTTCTGTTGGGGTTGGGGGTCCTGGCTGTGCTGCCGGCTGTGATGGTCTGTGTGCGTCCCCCAGGAAAGTGCCAACATGGGACTCAGCATCTCTGCTGCCCTCCAGGCGCCTGCTGCTGAAAAGGAGGGAGGTGGTGGAGGTGGAGAGAGCCCTGCAGGCCCAGCGGGAGGTACGGCCCCCAGCCCATCATGTGCCCCCCCTGCATGGTTGTTTTTCCTCCATAGTGGGACTGAAACCACAGATTTCCTTTGGGGTCACGGTGGTTGCTCCCCCTCCCCTGAGTTGGGGGGAGGAGAGGAACCTTATGAAGGTCAACAAGGGCAAGCGTAGAGTCTTGGAGAGGAATAAGCTGGGGATAATTCAGAGCCCGGAGAGGTGGTGGAGTCTCCTGCTCTGGAGGTATTCGATCCCACCTGGACAGCTTTCCTTTGTAACATGCTGTAGGGAACCTGCTTTAGCAGAGAGGGTGGGATGGGGGATCTCCAGAAGTCCCCCCCACTCCTGTGATTCTGTGTCCCTGCCCCTTGGGGCACCCTATGGCCCCTCAGGACTTCCAGCAGCAGATGGACCGCCTGGCACAGCGCTGGCAGCAGCTGGGCCAGAGGGAAGAGCAGCTCCGTGATGACACCATCAAATTCAACGCCTTCCTTAAGGTGTGAGCAGGCTCAGGGCTGGGCTCACGGCCGTGTCCCTCTGCCATCCCCACCAATGGCATCTCGATGCCCCAGGCCATGTCAGCGAGGCGGCAGCGGGCGCAGCAGTGGGCAGGTGAGGAGCGGGCATGGGCAGCACAGCGTGGAGCTGAGGCCTTGCGGCTGCAGCAGGAGCTGGAAAGGCTGCAGGGGCACAGGGAGCAACTGGGACAGCGCCTGCAGAGCCTCCGTGTCTTCGGTGACTTCCTGCAGGATGTGCGAGCTGCCACGGGGCAGGTGAGGGTTCCTGTCCCCAAGGAAGGGCCTGGCAGCGTCCTGTTCATCCCCTCAACACTGTGGTCCAGTTTCAGGACATGCCATCCATGCTGGCCCATTTTGGGGCACTGGTGGAGGTGCGGGCGGTGCTGCTGCAGCAGGTGGAGGCTGGGCAGGTGGCATTGGCCCAGGGCCGGGCTCAGCTCCAGCAGTGCTGTGAGGAGGCTGACAGTGAGCTCAGCAGCGGCAATGAGGAGGTGCTCCAGCTCCGTGCCCGCCTGGAAGCTGCCCGCAGTGATGTGCTGAAGGGGGTAAAGGCTGCAGGAGCCCCAGGGTGAGGGGCTGCGGGATGGGACCGCCTGCAGTCCTGAGTTATTCCCTGCCCCCAGGAGTCCCACTGGGCCCAGCTGGAGGGTTCAGCAGCCCAGAAGACGCTGCTGCTGGGGCAGATCCGGATGGCGGTGCTCAGCCTCTTCCAGCTTGCCACCACGAGGCTAAAGGTCCCCAGTGATGTGGCCCTGGGGGACACAGAGGCACAACTGGATGTGGTGAGTGTGGCCCAGCAGCCACAGGGCTGGAAGGGACACGGATGTCCCTGTGACGCAGAGGCCCCCATGTCCCCAGCTGCTGCACTGCATGCAGGACCTGGCTGCCATGTGTACCGAGCTGGGGCTGCATCCTCATGTGCCTGCCACCACTGCCACGCACTCACGGCATCGCAGGGCTGTCACTGTGCCTCCCAGCCAGGAATAGATGGACTTAGGATACAACGGAGTATGGAAGTCACTCCTCAACCAGTCCAGGGAAGGATGAAGAGAAATGCCCCACAACAGAGCCTGGGACACCAGCACCCTCCTATAAGGCACCTGAATGGACAAAAGTAGAGCAGCTGCTCATCTTCAGGCAGTTGATACTAATAAAACCTCTTCCCATGAAAATATAACACAGCTGCTGTCCCTGAGTGCTGGGTTCTTTTAAAACTGCACCTGGGGGAGGAATTACCCCAGGCATGAGATGCAAGAGAGGAGGCAGGCTACAAAACCAGACGGGTATCTATTTGATGTGTCCTTTGCTAGGCCATCTCCTACATCTTTTTTCGGAGTTTTCCCTTCTTGGTGGCCCCAACACGGCCGAATGCCATCTGTCGCAGCTCCTGCACCCGCTGTCGGTTCCGTGCCTTCAGGCGCTTCAGGCCCCCGCGCTGCAGGAAGCGCTGCTTGGCCGCTGCCTTGCGCTGCTTCAGGATCTGCTGCTTGTTCTTCAGCTCCGAGCGCACCTTGCCCTGGGTGGGGGGCCGTGGAGGGGCTGTGGGACAGACGCAGCCATGGGTGGATGTAAAACCATGCTTGGAGGCCTCAGAGATGCAATGGGTTGGTATGGAGACGGGTGCTTGTTCAGGTACTCACCGTGCCCACGTTTGTGCTTCCCTCTGTACTGCTCCCGGCCTCCTTGGTTGTCTTCATCCTCGTCTCGCTCATCAACCTTGTTTTTCTGCTTCCACTTCTCATAGCTGCGGCAGGTTAAGGGCAGGCACAGCACTTCCCCTCTCTCACCCTCTGCCTGCCCAATCTCCCTTTAGCACCAGGCAGAGCCCCCTCTCCTGTCTCCTTGGCTGCAAGGCCATGCAGTCCCACACCCAGCTCCCCCAGCACAGCATGGGCAGGATACAGATTGTTCTTGTAGGAGCTGCTGATGTAGCGCCCGCTCTCTGTCCGCACTTTCTTCTTCTCCTCCTGGCCCGTCTGCCCCACAAAACGCTTCTTCTTGCGGTCCCTGGGAAAGAGGGAGCAAGGAGGGTGGAAGACTCTTGAACAACAAGCCACCTCCATCCACCTCACTGGGCATCCCAATTCTACCTGACACTGCCCAATATGCAGCAAGAGTCACTGGTTTTGAGGGGAGAGAAACATCCCTTCAGGCTCTGCTCCTTGCCCAGCTCTTTCCTGCCATGACCAGACCCCACTCACCACTTCAGCAGCTGCTTGCTCCTGTTCAGGTTGTGGCTTTCATCGCCCATGAGATCCAGCACAGCCCCAGCTGCCTGCTGCTCGAAGGCACTGCCCTCACCGCTCACACTCAGCCTGCACAGAGGAAGCAATGAGAACAGCCCGAGCTGCTGCAGGAGGGTGGGGGGAGTGCTCCCAACTCACCCCCGCTCGCTCTCAAAGTCCTTGGGTCGATATGGGATGTAGAAGTCCTCATCCCGCTGTGCTGGCAGCTGTGGCTTTTTCCTGGCACCATCTTCTGCAGCCCGGCTCCGTTTGCGCTTCCGTCCCACCACGGTGGAGAACACCTCCTGGAAGGGGGCAAATGAGGGGCTAAGGCTCCATGTCCCAACCCCAGGGCCAGGTTCTTCTAGAGGTTCACATGCCCGCTCCAAAGCCAAGGCACAGCCCTGTCGCATCCCTGTTACCTGGAGGTTTTCCTCCTCTCCTTCCTCGTCCTCAGGCCTGGGGGTGGCTGGATGCAGCCCCTGCCCCTTGAGAGCTGCTGCCCGCTTCTCCTCCTGCCCACGCTGGAACTTCTCGATGAGGGCACTGTCGTGTCGCCGCTTGGAGCGCATGATGCTGCTGGCCAATGTGTGGGCTGTGGCATTGATCTCAAAGATGGTCTGTACACAGAGACAGAGCAAGCCCCAGGAGTGAATGGTTTAGTGGGCACGGTGAGAATGGGTCAATGGCTGGACTTGATGATCTTTAGAGGCATTTCCAACCTCTATGATTCCATGGGACTTCCCTCTTTTTCCATCCCTCCCCTCCCTCTGCCTTCCATCCAAAGGCCAGGCCCCAGCTCACCGCCTTGGACTTGTAGGCTTTAATGCTGTCCACCAACTTCAACCTTTCCAGTTCAGTATCTTCAAAGTGAGCACCTGGGGAGCAGAGAGGGATCAGCTCATCCACAGGGGAGAAGGATCCCCTCCCACGGTGTCCTGAGGCACTCACTGAAGAGTGGGTGGATGCCCAGCTGAGACATGTCCATCTCCTTCACCCTCTTGATGGACTCGGGTGAGGGGCCGGGCCGGGAGCGGAGGTACTGCTTCTGGGCATTGTCAGCCACGCGGCGCAGGCTCTGCAGCTCCAGTGAGCCCTCATGGTCTGTCAGCAGCAGGCACTCCTCATCATCCACCAAGCTCTGTGGGACGCGACCCAGAACCCCATCTGCATCTGCAGCACCAGGGACAGTGCATCAGCTCTCTGGGAGCAAGAGGGTATCACCCCCCTAACAGGGTGCAAGACCCTTCTGCACAAAAGCTGAACACAAGATCACAAAATTCAAAAATAAACCCCAAAGGATGTGCAGCCATCTCTTCATTTGGGTCCTCCTCACCTGCAGGCATCTCCTGGGCACCGGCAAGGATAAGAGGGCGTCCCAGGAAGAGATGGAGGTCAAAGATGTAGGGCATCTCGTCAGGAGCCACCAACGAGTAGGCAGTGCCACTGCGGCCAGCACGGGCCACACGACCTGGTAGGGTGAGGAGGAGGGCGGTGGGAAATCAGAGCCAGCACCAGCCCTGACCTGGGACAGGAACCCACTGGTACTCTAGGACCCCAAGGGTCAGTTCACTCACACCCTCCCTGTCACATCATCACCCTGAGAAATCCCTGGGTGGCACCTACCAACACGGTGCAGGAAGAGCTTGGACTTGGCAGGAAAGCTGTAGTTGATGACATTGTCCAGCATGGGGATGTCAAGTCCACGGGCAGCCACGTCTGTCACCAGCAGCACCTGGCACTTGCCATGGGCAAACTTGGCAATGTTGATCTTGCGGGCAGTCTGGTCCAGTGAGCTGTAGATGTGGGTACAGCAGATGCCCTGGGACGTGAGTAGCTGCAGACAGGGGAAGAGAGCACAGAACCCACTTGGAAATGCACCTCCAGCCCAGGGAAAGAGTCCCCAGGGTACTGAGTCCCCAAAGTGCCCACCCAGACCCCAAACACTGGATACCCTGGATGCCACTGACCTCTTTGAGATACTCCGTGTGGTGCTTCGTGGCCACAAAGACGACTGTCTGATCCTGGGGCTTCACCACACTGCGGAGCAGGTGGAGCAGCACAGCTGGTTTGTCATCTCCGCGCACGTGGAAGAAAGCCAGCTGCAAAGAGAGGGCAGGGCTCAGCCCTTCTGGGCCCCTGGGCTCTTTGGGACACCTCGCAGTGCCCACTCCTTTCTGGGCTGGTCACCTCTCATGAATCTCCAGCCACCATGGGGTAACTTGTAGGCATGGAGGCACCTGATGCTGGAGGGAGAGGCACAAAGCTCACCTTGAGCTGCTCACTGAGCTTTGACTCCACATCTAGACGTATCAGCATTGGCTCAGTGAGACCTGTGGGACATGGTGGCACGTGGGACACAGAGCTGGGACCAGCTCTAGCTTCCAACCTGGGAATATCCACTTGGCCCAGCTCTGTTTCTCTGGTCCCGTGACCAGTACAGCTGCAGGACTGGGAGAAGCCCCCCAGCAGATCACTGCCACCAGTATAGGACCACCAAGCCCTGGAGCCAGTCCCAGCCCAGCCCATCTACCCCACGCTTCTCACCAGCACGGGCAAACTCAACAAGCAGCTTGGGCAGTGTGGCTGAGAAGAGGACGGTCTGGTGGCTACCCGGTAGCCGAGCGAGGATCTCTTGGAGCTGTTCTGCAAAGCCCATCTCAAAGAGCCTGCAGGGAGAGCATGTGGGACATGGGACATGGCAGCCAAGGTTCCCCTGCTCCCATCATCACTTTCTCCAAGCACACTGACCTGTCAGCCTCGTCAAACACCACGTACTCCATGCTCTGCAGCTTCAGGTTCATCTCCACTGCCACATGCACCAGGCGCCCAGGGGTGGCAATGATTCTGTGAGGGCCAGAGATGCTGACACTGAGCTGCTTCCAGTCTCCCTACACCATCCCAAATCTGACCTTGGTGACCATGTCCCCACCAAGTCCTCTCCCTGCACTCCTCACCCACACTCACATGTCGGGGTTCTCGTGCAGCGCAGCAAACTGATCCTCCATCCTGTGAGAGTGGGGAGAGCCCAAGGGCAGGGGACAGTTCAGCCCACCGCCTCCCAGGGCTGGGCAATCTGGGGCTGTTTTAGGGATTTGGGGCTGGCAGGGACCCGATGACAGCAGGGATACCACTCACTTGTCTCCTCCCAGCACAAGAGCAGTCCTCAATCCTGTGAACTTGCCCAGCTTCAGGGCAAGAAGGGAAACAGTAAGATTAAAGCACACTGGGATATCAGCCCCAAATGGTGCCCATTCATCCCCATACCTCCTTGGTGAACTTGAGGGTCTGCAGGGCCAATTCACGAGTGGGTGAGAGGATGAGGGCGCGTGCTCCAGATGGGCTGGGTGCCTTCAGCCGCTCGAACATGGGCAGGAGGAAGCAGGCCGTCTTCCCACTGCCTGTCCGTGCCATCGCCACCACATCACGGCCACGCAGGATCACTGGGATGGTCTGTGGGACACAGCCCTGCTGTCAGTACCCCATGGGGGGACACAGCACAGCCCCTGCAGCCCAAGGCCTCACCTTCCTCTGGATGGGTGTGGGCACTTTGTAGCCCTTCTTCATCACGCCCTTGAAGACAGGGTAGCTCAGGCCTGCAGGGACATGGAAACGGTAAGGGGACATATGGGCGGTGAGGGGCTCTGCAGGTGGGGTGACCCCCACCCTACACATACCCATGGACTGAAAGCCTCCGGATTTCTTCTTCTTGTTCTGCGCCCGCACCATTGCCTGCGTGTCCTCGGCGGTGTCATCATCCCTGTCCTCAGCAGTGGGAAAGGCAGGCAGCGGGGGCACGGGAAGCTGGGGATGGGGGGGAGGGAGGGGTTGTGTCACGACATGGGGATGCAGTGAGCGGGGTTTGTGTCACGGTGACAGCAGGGCTGCCATGACAGCGGGCTGGGACACCGGCATCACACAGGGACATTTGGGACACGCACACGTGGGGAATGGGGACACCGGTACACGGGGACACCGGAGACATCAGCACGTGGGGACGCGGCGCTGGGAACACGGGCAAACGGGGAGTGGGCACGTCGGTTCCGTGCCGCGGGCACAGAGGAGCCGGGAACTCACGGGAAGGGGCCCACGGGTTGAGATCGCGTCCCTCGCCCCCTCCCCGCGCCTCCCTACCGTTGCTGCCCGGCGCTGTTCCCCAGCACCGCTCGGTCCGCGCGGCTTGCGGGCACCCGACGGCGCCATGGCGGTGGGGCGGAAACCGGAAGTAGCGCCGCGTAGGAGAGCGGAAGGGGCGGGGACTTCCGGAGCCGGGAGCGCGGGAATGCGCGTGCAGCGCTGCCCACGTGCCCGCCGTGCTGCCCCGTGCCGCAGCTCCAACCGCCCCCTGCCATAAAGAACGATCGCTTCCGAGCGGGTGTTTCTTTTATTAGGAGCTCAAATAACGATTTTCAAAACGGAGAGCTGAAAAACTCGAGGCTGTGAAGAAGGCGTTCCGTTTCTAAAGCAACGCTTTCACTACGTACATTTGAAAATACGAACCTGGACGCGAAGCATTTAATGGCTGAGGGAAGCAAGGGGAAAAGCTCAACTGCGAAAGAAACAACACAGCCTAATATTTGCGGTACAAGTCGACCTCTCCACAGCAATTAGTTCAGTGCTTCCCACCAAAAAGGTGCTGCAGTGGAGAAAATAGCCTAGGGAAACAAAAACAGAAGATTATACACAAAATGCTTGTCTGAGGACTGTAAGAATGAGGCTGCCTCTGCCTGCCAGCACAGCGTGCCTCGGAGGAAGATGGAAACATGGAGAGGAAACACAATAACTCGCAGCATTGTGCTCTAGTCGTTAATGGGGCTGGCATACGTTAGGATTGATAAGGATTTTAAGGATCCCCTTAATGGGACTGAAGATCGGTCCCTGAATGGCTCTGTTGGGAGAGAAAATTAAAGTGTTCTAACAGTCCGGCTGTAGGTGGCACTCTTTATCTGATATAAAGGCAGTGATTGAGGTCAGTAACTCTGCTGGGATTGTTTTCCCTAACGCAGCTACAAAACACTTCACTGGGAATGTGCACCTTTCCACAAGCATAAAGCACGAGGGAATGTTTCTTCACCTTGGAAGGCCTTGGTTTAGCCACCACAGAAAAGATGTGTCTACTCTTCAAGATAACACAGAATCATCTCAACTGCCAGAATCAGTCTCAGACACAGCAGGGACAGAGCAGCACAGAAGGCTCATGTGAAGGAATTGACTCACATGGTATTTACTCCCTAGTATCACACCTGAAGTTTCCTCTCACACCCAAACCAGTTCATTTAATATTTGCTGGAGTATCTCTGCTCTACCCACCAGAAGATCATGGAATCATAGAATGGCCTGGGTTGAAAAGGATCACAATGCTCATCTAGTTCCAACCCCCTGCTGTATGCAGGGTCACCAACCAGCAGCCCAGGCTGCCCAGAGCCACATCCAGCCTGGCCTTGAATGCCTGCAGGGATGGGGCATCCACAGCCTCCTTGGGCAACCTGTTCCAGTGCATCACCACCCTCTGTGTGAAAAACACACAGATACAATTCTTTAAAATTCAGGAAATAAGAGAACAGGCAGTCCAGGTGGAAAACAAATGCTGCACTATGAAGTAGCTTTAAGTAGGAACTGCTCACAGCTGCAACATAGGTACCTTCTCCAGAACTTTGAGAGACCTCCTCGTTTTGGCTCCTCAATTCCTTTGGTTGTGATTTGGTCCATTTGCTGCAATACCTGCATTTCACCTTCAGGCTGACTGGTTTCTGCTCTTTGTTCCATGTTATATCCCACAGGTCTCCCTGTAAGAAACAGGAGTAAGAACAGAAGCACAAACTCACTCCCTCCATACTCCCCTGAATGCCTGATGTAAGAAATAATACAGGAATTCCTTACTTACATAAACACTCTTGGTCACAGCCCACGCTGAGGGATGCTGGACTACGCTCACACTGAATTTCTTTGGAGTAATTCTAAAAGAAAACACAACCCAGAAACTTTGTTACACAATGTGAAATTTTATCTCACAGGAGAGTTTTGTTGACTTGCTTGCTTTAAGAACTGAACAGCAAGATCTAAAGTAAAGCTGTAATTCACTGATTTTAATAGCTGGAATAGTATAGGCAAAGATTTTGAACAGCATACACAGAGATGCTGTGGGAAATAGCCACTGACAGTACAGCCCTCTGGACATTAGTCCTGCTAAGCCATAGTAGTAGTAAATAACACTGAAGGACAGAAGTGAGAAGTATCAGAAGCAGGACTGAGCCAGGATATCAGAAATACAAAGGGACCACAAACAACAAAATCTGCATGCACGCTTATTTGAAAGAGTAAAATCACTTTGTCATAGAGAGAATATAAGCATAGATTTACTCCTTAGGTGTGCATCTCTTGCACTGAGCTCAGATGTGTGAAAATTTCCAAAGTTTAGATGGCCTGAGATCTTTACAGTTTATTCTCAGAAGATTCAGTAAAGTAGGAAAGTTATCTTCAGAAACAGGCTGATCAGCTGTCAGTTCTCTTTCTCTCTTTCTTCAATTTGTACCAGTGTCCTTGTTAAGCAGGAAGATGTGTGGGCTGGATTCCAGCCATTCTGATTGGACAGCTGGCTGTCAAAATGATGCCTGAAGGCTGGAAAAGAAAGAATCTTCCCTTCCTGACAAGGCATTTTGAGAAAAGAGGGTTTAGGAAGCATCTCTGATCCCTCTGGAACAGTTCCCTCATTAACATGACTACTGATGATGTAGTCAGAAAACTCATTATGCTTTTTAAGGGAGAGAGGTAGATGCCTACAAGGCCATCTGCTCAGAGTTGTGGTGAGCTCCAATTATTGACAGCAAAGTCAGTATGAAGGTCAGCAGCTACTGCAGGCCCTCTGTGGAGTCTGATAGGAAGAGGCATCTGGAGGCTTGAGGTCAAGGTAGGCAATTCTTCAGGTTCATCTCTGAGAGGTTAAGCTTACCCTTAGTTCTTAGCTGAAGAACCAGAAAAGTTTGTGTGTTGTCTCTGTAAAACTCACCATCTGACTGATTTTGATGAGCAGCAATCAAGAAAGTCACTATCACAGATGCAAATGACAAGGGAAAAAACATACCTGAAGGCATTTTATGCTTGCCATCTTGAGAATCTAGGACTAAGTACTGTTGTGTCTTTCTGAATATTCTGTAGCTTACCTTTTCAAATCCATGCTCTACTTTAGTTGCATGGTGAACACTCTCAGCTCCAGGTCTAAAAATAAGTGAAATAAATAAGAACTGAGTTTACAGAAAAATTACAAAAAGGAAGCAATCAAACAATCATACATATGGCCACTATGAGCATTTTATTTTCAAGTCAAGCTTTCAGTACCTCCAGGCAACAAAATATATACGCTAAATAGACATTTGTACTCAAGTCTCTAATTTTCATTAAAAACAAAAAGAAAATATGTACACATTTCCAAAAAGAAATCCAAAATTAGGGAAAGTGTCAGCAGTGAAAGAGAAGGAAGAACAACAGGGAGAAGGAATGCACAGTAATAATGAACACAGAAGATCAATGGCATATGAAAGATATTTATATACGGCCTAAAAGAATATTTTGTAGTTGACTGACCTGTCCATACATAACTTTGGATATGAGGTCTCTGTTTGACCTTCAACTCTTCTCCTCTTCCCTGTTTCTTCCATTTCAGTACTTTCTGGTATTTCACTTTTTCTCTTGACCTTCAAAACATTGCAAACTTTGCATTGGTAACATCTGATTATGACTTTTCTATTTTATAACAAAATTCAGAATCAATATATAGTTATATTTAGCACAGTTGTTCACATTTATAGAATGAAAACAAAAAAGATTTGTGAATAAAATACTAGCTTCTTTATTCACAGACACGAACCAGACAGAAGCCATCCAGAGAACTACGCCAGTAGTGTCAATTTACATTTCCTGGCTGATAACTGGAAATTATAAAACTTCAGTATTTCCTATCTTGCAATATTTTTGGCTGTAGTCTGGAATATCTCTGTGTACTCTGCTGCTCCAGATTGTTTGGACTATAACTCAGAACACACACACACAACTTACAGGCTCAGAATTGTTGCTGTTGACTTCTTTACCTGTAACAGAAGTATTACAAGATTTGGTGACTATACTGGAGTTTATTCAACCCACTTAAAAGTATGTTTCTGCTTTATGTCTTATTTTCTGAGAACAGGACAGACTGCTGAACTTGCATACAGTGCACTGAAATTGAAAAACTATTGAAAAACACCTCTTTGTTCTGGAAATTACCCAAACATAACCATGCAGACTTACCCAAGGACAAACTTTGCTGAAATGAGTTGAGCTCCAGATACATAGTGCAAATGTAGGGATAAGGCACGAGATTGACATTCTCATGTTTGAATCTCATTTTTGATACTCTTTCCCATTTACTCAAATCTGAGAACGACGTTAAGACTTACAAACAAAGCACTATGTTTGTAAACTGTTGTAGTCTTCTCTACCAGTGGGACAAAGTTGCTGAGTCTATAAGGAACATTTCTCATTTCATTAATTTTTTAAAGCAGGGCACAAGCCATGCTTGCCATTGTTTTTGGTGGGCTTACTATGACTTAGTATGTGTGCTTTCATTTTAGGAAATAGATGATCTTTAAGGCCACTTCTGACCTAAGCCATTCTGTGATTTTCTGTCTAGATCTGACTTGGAACTCAGAGTTTCTGATCTAAAAACATTGCAAAACACTCTTTTCAAATCAACTATTTGCTGAAGGCACCAGCTGATGGTGGTCCTCAGGTAATGTAAAATTGCAAAGCTCAAAGTAGTTAAAGGTCTGCAAAGTACTGAATATGAATCCTGAATGAAGCAATGTCCAACATACACAATTCATGGAATCTTTTCTTTTATGAACAGGAAAGGATACATGGAAAGATAGTGAAGTGATCTGTAGAAAATGGATGTAAATCATCAAGATTTCCAAGGATGACTCGAATTGCTTCCTGGAAAGACCAAAAAAAGAAGTGGGGGAATAATATTAACAATATATCCACAACTCTACTGGAGTTCAGTGTTCAGGCTTTGGAAAAAACTGAACTTTACAGTTTGCATGAATTGTCGAAAAGGATATTCTAGATACATACATACAGCTTTGCTTATCCTTCTCCTCACTCCCTTCATATCACCTGAACTGCACTACAGAAAGATACTGACAGAAATTGCTTCATATCCTACCTCAAACTCCTTGACAGCAATGTCAGTGTTGTTGAGTTCAGGAGCACTGTGAAAACATACAAAGAATTAGTCCCAAAGATACAAAGAATTAGTCCCACCTGGGGAAGGAAAGGATTACATTCTCTGACAGACAGCAAATGACAACAAAACATCATAAACAAGGAACATTCTCTGCAGAGAGAAAATTCTTAGCAAGCAGATAAAATCTTGAAATATTGTTCCTAAAAATATCCGGGATTATTTTGAATTTTCTGCCCATTTGCATTGTGTGTGTGGGTACAAGAGATAGCAGAAATGCTCCGAATTTAAAGCAAGAAATGGCTGTAAATGGGTTCTGCTTTTGAAGACAAGAGGAAGATCACAGCACAGTGCTTTTGAGGGCATTGCCTTTGGACTGCTGCATGCTGATGCTCATAGCCTTGAAAGGCATGATCCCTGAAGGGAGCCAGATGGTGCTAACAGATCCTCTGGCTTTGCTTATTGATATATAAGAACACCCACATTTTATCAGAAGTTGACAGCAACAAAGCATAAAGCTTCAAGCTAAGTTTGAGATCTACAAAACACTTCTTTTGCAATTAGAACCCAATCTAAAACCACTTAGTTTTGAGGGGAAAAAAAAAAAAAGCAGTAATATCTCCTTTTGCCAGAACAACCCCACCTTCTGTGACTATTATGGCCCACAGCCTCAAGGATTCTTGAGTCCTCTCTCAAATTAAGAGCTCCAAAACTTCTTGAGTGAGTTGGTCTGGGTTCACAGAATCACAGAATGGCCAGGGTTGGAAGGGACCTCAAGGATCATGAATCTCCAACCCCCCTGCCACACGCAGGGCCACCAACCACCCCACCTAATGCTAGACCAGGCTGCCCAGGGCCCCATCCAACCTGGCCTTGAACACCTCCAGGTGCATCCACAACCTCCCTGGGCAGC